TCACTCTTAGCTGTCAACTTACAGGACTTATCTGCAAAATCTGCCTCATATGCTGTCCTTAATTCCCTGTTTCCTTCCTACCTAGGAAGAAGGGCCTCCTCTTTCCAGTCTCTTCCTGATTTGATACAGACATGTTCTGTGGTTCAGTATTTTCCTTTCTCTCTGTCCATATTTCTCCAATAGTGATCTCATCTAATTTTATGACTTGCTATGGTTTGAATCTTAGTGTTCCTCCAAACAAATAATATTAAGTTTAATCCCTGGTGCTCTATTACTAATAGTATTATATGAATCCTTCAGGGGTCCTCTCTCGTGGGTTAGATTAGAAGCTGTATCAAGGTATCAGACCCTACATGTCTCCATGTTCATGTCCTGGACCTTCTCTGGTCACCATGGAGATGAACTGGTTTGTTGGTATTGTTTTTGTTCTTTCTTTCCTCTCTGGCCTTCATGGCTCAGTTTCCTAGCAGTTTGAAGTGTATTTTCTGGATGCTGGTTTTTGAGACAGGAGTCCATCATGCAGTTGCCAGCCTCTTAATAAAGACTCCAAGATTCAACCTCTCAAAAACAAAACAACACAAAACGAAAAGTTGTATCAAAACTCTTAGAGTCCAGGTATTGGTGGCATATGCCTGTAATCCTAGTTACTTAGGAGGCTGGAAGAAAAGCCCTTAAGACTGTGTGTGTCTTGGTGCTTGAACACAAGAATCTAGAGCTGTCCTTGTGCTTTTGTGCTCAAGTCTAACGCTCTACCACTTTGAGCCTCAGTTCAATTTCCAGCGTTCTGGTAATTGTTTGTTTTTTGTCGGTTGTGGGGCTTGAACTCTGGGCCTGTGCACTGTCCCTCAGCTCTTCAGCTCAAGGTGAGCGCTCTACCACTTGAGCCACAGCACTACTTCTGGTTTTCTAGTGGTTTATTGGAGATGAGTCTCACGGACTTTCCTGCCTGGGCTAACTTTGAACCATGATCCTCAGATCTCAGCCTCCTGAGTAGCTAGGATTACAGGCCCGAGCCACTGGTGCTGGCTCTGGTAGTTAATTGTTTGGGTTTTCGTTTTAACTGTATTTTTTTGTCTTTTCTTTTTTGGTACTGGGGATTGAACCCAGGACGTTGTACTTGCTAGGTAAGCGCTTTGCCACTGAGCTACATCCCAGCCCTTTAAATGTGGGAGAGAAATAATTTCTTGTTTTTTCTTTTGTCAGTCGTGGGGCTTGAACTCTGGGCTTGGGCACTGTCCCCACTCTCTACAGTTCAAGGCAAGCGCCCTACCACTTGAGCCACAGTGGCACTTCCGTCTGGTAGTTAATTGTATATGAGAGTCTCACAGACTTTCCTGCCTGGGCTGGCTTAGAACCACAATCCTCAGATCTCAGCCTATTGAGTAGCTAGGATTACAGGTGTGAACAATGGGTGCCTGGGATTAAGACTCTTATTTCCAGTAAGCCACAAAAATCCATATCAAAAACCCCAAAAAACAGAGTGCCAGTAGCTCATACCTGTAATCCTAGCTACTCAGGTTGAGATCTGGTTCAAAGCGAGCCACAGTTCAAAGCCAATTGGACTCAGATAAGAATTATCTCCAATTAGGGCTGGGAAGGCAGCTCAGTGGTAGAGTGTTTGCCTTGCATGCATGAGGCCCTGGGTTCGATTCCTCAGGACCACATAAGCACAAAAGAAAAAACCGGAAGTGGCACTGTTGCTCAAGTGGTAGAGCACTAGCCTTGAGCTGAAGGACAGCGCCCAGGTCCAGAGTTGAGGCCCCACCACCAGACCAAAAAAAAAAAAAAAAGAATTATCTCCAATTAACTAGCAAAAAGTGGAAGTGCTGGGGATAGAACTCCACCTGCTGGGGTGTGTGTGTGTGCGTATGTATGTGCACATGCACACATGTGCTTGCCAAAATTGGGGCTTGAACTCAGGGCCTGGGCACTATCCCTTAACTTCTTTTTTTTTGTCGGTCCTGGGGCTTGAACTCTGGGCTTGGGTGCTGTCCCTGCGCTCTTCAGCTCAAGGCGAGCTCTTTACCGCTTGAGCCACAGCCGGCTTTCTAGTGGTTTTTTGGAGATAAGAGTCTCACGGATTTTCCTGCCAGGGCTGACTTTGAACCATGATCCTCAGATCTTAGCCTCCTGAGTAGCTAGGATTACAGGCGTGAACCACCGGTGCCCAGCTATCCCTTAACTTCTTTTGCTGAAGGCTGGCACTCTACTGCTTGAGTCAAGGCTCAAGGCTTTTTGGTGGTTAATTGGAGATAAGAATTTGTTGCCCAAGGGGCTGGGAAGGTGGCTCAGTGGTAGAGCGCTTGCCTTGCATGCATGAGGCCCTGGTTCGATTCCTCAGCACCACATAAGCAAAAAGAACAAAGCTGGTAGAACATTAGCCTTGAGCTGAGGGACAGCGCCCAGGCCCAGAGTTCAGGCCCCAGGACAGGACCAACACGGGACCA